CGAAAATGTACCGCCGGCGGCCGGCGGGGTTTGGCTTTTATGAGGAGAACTTCGGGGAATGGCCGCCGCCGCCGGGAATGAGTTTTTGGGATTGAATGAGTGTTTTGGAAGCCAAGCCTCCTGTTTTTGGAGGACCCATTTTTTGGGTTTTGGCTTTTCTCTCCCTAATATTCCCCCAAATCTCGGGAAGAAGATATAAACTCAGATGTGTGTGTAAGAGAGAGAGGGTGACTTTAAAGAGAAATAGAATGCCCAGGGGTTTATATAGGGTGTTTGGAGACAGAGATTTTCACGACATAAAAAAACCTGTTTTCTTGGGGGGGGGGGGGGGGGTGGTGATTATTTCAGATTTTGGTTGGTGAAATCTGAATTAAGTCAAATAAGTTTATGAAAGTTAGGTGTCTGGATGGCGCTACGATGGTGGTTGTTAATTCTATTTTCTTTTTTCTTTTTTAATACCAAATTAATTAAAACCTGAATTTAATTAATTTGTACTTCAAAAATATATAGGTTTTAACTAATTTTAAATTTAGTCCCTCCAAAATAATCAATTTCCACAAATAGGATGGTGAATGCAATTTGGTGTATTTATTTATATTCTAAATTTGCACACAAAATTAAATCTGGTTTAAGAAATTTAATAAATAGCCTTCTTTTTAATAAAAGACAATCCCAATTTGCCATTTGCAAAACTAATAAATGAGCTCTCGATACCTTTTATTTATTCGGCAATTCTCGCCAAACTTATGAACGATGACTCGATCATTAACTAACCATACTCGTATATGTTGGAAATCTTGTTGCAACGGTGTTGTAACTAGTGGAATAAGAGGGTGTCACATTTAACGACATGAGTTCGATTCTTGTTATTAATACTTTTTAGATTGAATTTGTCGCACACATCTCTTCAATTCTATTTACACCTCTCGTGTGATTTACGTGCTATTATACGACTGAATGCGAATGCAAATGCAAAAGGATTTATGAACTTGGTCATGAAAACAAAAGTCATGTACCACTAATAGTTAATGTTAAGTAATTACTTGATAATTTAAACATTCACCTACTACTAAGCCCACAATTTACATTGATATGATTGCAATAATAATTATGTTTTAATTTGAATAAATTAATCCTTTTATATTGCTATGGGATTGCAATTATATTAATTATTTGATTTATTTTGAATGTTTTTATAATTAATAAAAAAATTATAAAACTAATTTAGCTACCAATATTTATTTTTGATAAAAATGAGAAATAATCTAACTAAATAAATAAAAATGAAAAATCACGCTGAAAAATGTGAACATTTTGTTTGCCTTATTTGTTGAGGTTGGTGGGTAAGTTGGGATATGTGGAGGCATTATGAAGATACTAAGGGGCAAAATAGGAATTCAAAGAGTTTATGGATGAAAAGACATTGTACATTTGTAGATGAAGAATCACGCACATGCTAATCAGATGCTTTTGCCCACGTGGGTCCCGCATTTTTGTATTCTATTTTACCTGCATTTATCACGTTGTCTATACACGCGCGTTCTTGCTTTTTTTTTTCTTTTTTTCATTTATTAATTTATTATTATTCAATTTGTATGTAAAATAATTATTTTATATATATGGAATGTTATTGGGCCTTTTATGGAAGGCCTTTATAATACTTTTAAAAAAGGGTAAATTCCACTTTACCCCCTCGTACTCTGCCTGAGAATCACTTTACCCCCTCGTACTCTCAATTTCATCGATTTACCCCCTTGTACTTGTACAATTTCCCAATACAACCTTATTCGTCAACTTTTTTCGATTTTGACTCTGACGCCGTTTGGTCAAGAGTAAAAATATTGACGTAAATATTGACTTTTTTCGATTTTGACTTTCGAGTTAAGAAAAAATAAAGTTTCACACATTCATATATTTTTTTCTTTGCACTGGGTGGAATCGATCAATTTTTGGGTCTTGATTTTTGCTAAGTCAGGGCTTCAATTTGGGGATATCTTCGAAGGGGAAGTAGTGGGAGAAGAAGAAACGACAATATTGACGGAAAAGAAATGACGTGTTATAGGCAGTGGCAATTTTGTAGTTTACAGAGCTGACCAAACGACGTCAGAGTCAAAATCGACAAAAGTTGAAGGAGAGGGTTGTATTGGGAAATTTTACAAGTACAAGGGGGTAAATCGATGAAATTGAAAGTATGATGGGGTAAAGTGATTCTCGGGCAGAGGATAAGGGGGTAAAGTGGAATTTACCCTTTAAAAAAATAACATAAAAATTTTAATAATCAAATACCCTAAAATATACGAACAAATCCATTGCTAAATACCAAAATTGAAATATCAAATATTTATTTGATATTTGAGATAATATTTAATATTGATTAAAATTCATCTACTTCAACCATGGTTATCAAATTAATTATCAATTGGAAGTTTATGAGTGATTTTATTTATAATTGACACATTCCCACTTTTGATTGGATGTTTAGATAGTTATACTTCTGATAACTCAATTTCCAGCAAGTATTCTTATATCCCACAAGTTAAATTATCAAAATAAAACCCTAATATGATAACTCCATTGGAGTTAAAAATTTCTATTTTTTAGTGTATAAATAGTGGTTAATGGTTTGAATACCATATTTCATAACTATTGGAGTTGCTCTTAACATTTTTCAGAGACCAGAGGTAGACCTTGTTGACCTACCATTGGATCGATCCTTGTTTATCAAATCAATACGAAAATATTGTAATTAGAGGCGCTTTTATATGAAATCGATAAAATCTACAATTATTATTATTATTATTATTATTATTATTATTATTATTATTATTATTATTATTATTATTATTATTATTATTATTTTCTTTTAAAATCGGCTTCGTATAAAATATTATGATCCGGGATTTTAAGTGAGATCATTTACACATGTGTTTGAGATAAATCATTGAGCAAAAATAAGACAGAAAATATTCACATGGCCTCAATCTCTAATTAAAGAGCAAAATAACTTAAGAAATTGGGTTCCTAAAGTAAGGTATAATTATAAAAAATACTCTTTTTTTTGAGAAATTACATTCCGTCTTCAAAATTAATTATTGCATAAATCTATCATGCATAATTGACTTATTATTTTCTTGT